CCAAATAGTAGTGTTGAAAGAAAAATCTTCATCAGGGTCCAGTCCAAGCTGGGAATAAACAAAATGGAGACTGCTTTAGAAAGAAGGTTGTAGTTTATTGAAGAGGAGAGCCAGACAGAAAGGTGGCTCTGGGAAAGCTTACCACATGTAGTTGAGAGTGTTGGGTTTTTATATCTTCTTGGGCTTTTGAGGTTCTTTTCTGTTCCTGTGGCATGAACTTTGACCTGAGTCTGCGTGTGCTTTTCTGGTAGTCTGATGGTGGTGGGTTAAATCTATTATGTCCTAAACTGCTTTCTTGGGGGTGTGGCTGATGACTATGTCCTGTGTTGGATTTTTGGGATGAGATTGGTTGATTCTAGGGATCTTGGTCTTTCTAATCCCATGCACACCAAGCTTCCTGGCTCCAATCTTTCTGACAGGATTATCACATCTGCATTTCTACAGACCTGGTTTCTGTTTGGGGTAGAGAGACTTGGGAGTGGTGATTTCTGCCTAAGATTTTCCATTATTCCTTTGGGAAAATATAACATTCTGCCTTTTTAATATCCCCCAAAATATTTATTTCTCTGGGAGGTCTGACTTCCCACAATAGGATTGGGAACACCTCTCAGATCTAGACATCTAGCCACACCTTTCCCCCCTTTTCTCTACATCCCATCCCCAATTTAAGGAAGGAGGCATTTTCTCTTTTGAGTGGCAGTTCTAACATCCAACCATCAAACTGCTCCACAGGATCTTACACCTACACTGATTTAATAGAGAGCCTTCCTGTCAGGGCTGTCCCAGCTTGGGCATTTGAAAAGAAAGACCCTTGATTCATTTTGCAGGGAAAGGTATGCTTTTACTAAAGCCAAGTGGTTACAGTTTAGGAAAAGCCATATCTGAGGATTCCCATGTAAAGCTTATATTTTTCACTTCTCCCAGGCCTCCCTCCCCCTGGTCAGTTTGCCAGTGTCGAATAAGGTTCAGATTAGTTGTTTGGTTAACAGCTCTAAAGTTTGGTGCCTCTTTGGTGGGCGTTCACGTTCCATTCCCATGTCTGTGTCCTTGGATTGTCCAATTGTTGTCTCTGATTGGCACTTCTAGTTCCTGTCATCCCCCCTCCCTCTATCCCTCTATCCCTCTATCCCCCTCCTTACATTTTTTGTCAGGCTACCATCAATGCAAAGCAGGGCTGCAGTGGTGTGATGGCAGAATTGACACATCACATATTTGTTTCTAGACCTCAAGAGGCAAAGAGGAAATCTTCTCCTTTGGCAAAGACTTTCTACTCAGGAGAAGATTTTCCTAGTTTTAGTCACGTTCTCTTTCTGGATAATGCCTTTGCACTGATGTAATGGGCTCTTTCTAAACTATACCCTATTTGATTGACTCAAACTAAGAAAATCCATCAAAAGTACTGGACCCGAGACAATAGAGAGATTTCTGTGTCTCTTGAGAATGTTTTAGTTTGCATTCAACTTTTTGTGGGGCTGGACAATAGGGATCAGTGGGGATTGATTTCTCTGGGTGGGGAAAATCAGTATTCCGATCAATAGGATTATTTAATAGACACATCCAGACATAAGCAATATCAGAACATTTCCAAAGCAGCCCCTGGATCTCAAGATGTAAATGTTTCTTGTAACTATTGTTCTCTGTAGAGGACGGAAGCGAAGGAGGTATATTATGTTATTACTTATGAATATTTATTTATTTAAAACATTTATATATGTATCCTTTCATTCTTACATCCTTTCCTAAATGTATAGATATGAACTCATCTCTTTGTCTGCAGGGGTGTGTCTCCCATTATTATTTTGGAAGAGGCACCCGCCCCCCAAAAAACATTCTGACTAATAAAACACTGCAGTGAGCCTTTTTTTTTTTTTTCAATATAAAATTTTTATTATTTTCATCATAGAAAAAAACATCACAAATATTACACAATACTATATGAAAACCCACCCCCCCCGGACTTCCCAAACCTAATCCCAGGATAATATTCAAATATAAGTAAGCAAATATTAATATCTCTAACTCCACAAAGTATATTATTCTACATGAGTAGGTAAAATATAAAAGAACAAATTTACTAAAAACCTAAATTATATTCCACCACTCTATGCTACTTTTAAATATAAACAATCCATCTTCTCCATATTA